TCATAGAAAAATTTCTACCCAAAAATTAAAGAATGTTAAATTTTTCATCAGTGATCATTATATAATTATTATAGAAAAAAAAAACACATTATATTATTTTTAGTACTTAACCCTTTCAATGAAAACTTAAAAAAACGACAGAAAATTAACTAAAACATACGTTTATGACGTTTACGAAAATGATTCATCGTATTATTCACAACCAGGTCACAAAAAAGAAATTCCTAAAATGTTATCGTATTTTAGAATTCAATTTTGTTCTTCATGTTTCTCTGTTTTATTTGAACCACCGTTTTACAAAACACCTTGAAAGCGCACATTACTTTGAATACCGTCTCTTATCGCCACTTTACGAACTACTTTCAATTTAAGACATGTTTCACTCAACAATTTTAAACACGTATTTTGTTTTTTCGCTATTTTTTCGATGTATTTTGACAGCCCGACCGTCGCGCGTCGACCAAGAGTGCCACGTGTGAACTGGTCCTTCACAAAACACATACACAAGGAGAAGTGCGAGCGCCTTGCTAAATATTGGAAAGTGAAATTGACGTTTAAATTTGACACTGTTGACAAGTCTACTGCTACTAGCGCCCCCAATATCGCTTGTAGGAACTACGGACTAGATTGTAACGCATGGCGGGAAGTTTAAAAAAATAAAAAATTTTAATTCTCATTTATTTAAATTATGACATAACATAAAACATCAAAAATACACCATTTTTTAAAAAATATGTTTAATATCATTATCAAATATACAACAGAAATTAATTTCACCAAAATAAATAATAAAATTAAAAGAATAATGTTACAAATAATCTTTTGATTTAAAAAAAAATAATTATAACAAAACTGAAAAAAATGGCGTTATAGATGGCTTAAAATGAAGCCATCTTATGAATTATATAGAAATGTCAATTCGATCATTCATTTTTAAGCCAGACTGGACGATTATTTTAAACATACAAGCTGAGTTTGTTCATAGTGCTCTTAGAAATCTAGATAAACAAAGAATAATTAATTAAATATTCCAGGGGAAAAGAGAGGAAAAACTTGTCAGGGTATTGTTGAAAGTGTCATCTTTTTGCTCGAATTTTTCAGGTCGATTAAAAAGATGACATTTACAACAATACTTTGCCGTAATTTTCACAAATATCAGAGAGAGAGTACAGGTATTGCCTCTCTTTTCCTCTGGGATGCTTTATATCTGTTGTTCTTTGTTTATCTATATTTCTCAGAGCATAATGCCGAACAGGACTACAGTATATAATAATTTCAATATCCTAAAAGTGGAAAGAAAAAAGATCACCCTTCTGTTTTGTACTATGGTCCCTTTCTTCCAATGGCTCATCTCGTTGATATTAGGAAGGTATCCATACAAAATATATTTTATTATCGGTCTGGATGAAAAAAATGAAAATTCAATTTGATTTGAAGATCCTTTTCTGTCACCTAAATCAGGAGAATACAATGAGCAATGTTAAGATGAAAAAACTTATTTACAACATTACCTACACGTTAGTCCAAGGAGTTTTTATCAAAAACCCTAATTTGCCTAAATAATTATTATTCAATTTACAAAGCAAATTGCAGCGTGTAAACAAAAGAAATCAAATGGCGACAAGTCAACTAGTCAACGTCAACGACCCGACAAGGAGAAAGTGGTGTTCGAATAACACATTATGGGTTACAAAAAATTGTTTTTGTCTCCTTTCAACGCACACTTTAGAAAGAAAAAGAGATGAACAGTTATACTGAAAGAATGTCAAGGTTTTATCTGTCACTCTTGTCAATAATTTATCGGTAAGGAAGATTCCTAGAAAATCGCTTGTAGTCAAGTTTTCAACCATTTCCAGTTCTCCCATAAGAAGTGTCATCCACCTGTGGTCCTTTGAGCCGCGCCGTCGTGGCAGGCTTGCATCAGACGACGATGTTAAGCAACGTTGCCGTAGTTACAACAATTTCAAATTCAAGAGATTCGAAGCAATCAAATTTGTATTAAATTTTAAAAATAAAACAGAGAAACATGAAAGGAAACAAACAAGAACGAAATGAATTAATTTATTCGTCGGCGCTGTTTTCGATATATTTGAATTCTGAATTACGAATAAACAATTTAGAATTTCTTTTTGTGACCATTATCAATAATCAATTCATTTGTGTTTTGTTTTGTTTAACGTTTTGCGAGTTTTCTGTTTTATTTTTTTAAAATATAATAAGAAATTTGATTGCTTCGAGTGTCTTGAATTTGAATTGTTGAAACTACGGCAACCTCGCATGACGCGAGCTCGACACGCCGGCGCGACAAAGAAGCAGTGGGCAGTTACCAACCAGTGATGCGTGGCTGTTTTGGCCGACGGATGGTTGGGCTGTTGACGGAATTGTCGAAATACATCGAAAAAAATAGCGAAAAAGCAAAATACGTATTTAAAATTTTTGAGTGAAACATGTATTTTCTTAGATTGAAAGTAGTTTGTAAAGTGGCGGTAAGAGACAATAATTCTCAACATTTATCCATTCAGAAAGATATTCAAGTATTGTAATGTGTGCGTTTCAAGGTGTTTTTTGTAAATCAGTGTTCAAATTGTGAATGAAGCCCATAACGAAAATAATGTGTAAAGTTAAAAATGGGGACTGTTATTTTAGCATTTTTTTTTTATAATACACGTAACAAGTAAAGCAGCACAATGAAGTGTATTTTAGTTAAGTGTGTATCGAAAAAGAGTACTGTCGCAGTTACATCGATCTGTCATAAGTAATCTGTGTTTTAATGTTGGGGTAAGTTTTTTTTTTTATATAATTATGACTTTAAACATTTATGTTTAATTTATTTTTATGTGAAATAATATCACAAGATCTAAAAATGTAATGCATCTCTGCAAAATCCTCAGGTGTTGTGATTTTATGACTTACTTGTAACCATATACTTTCTTGTCCATATGGCAACACAGTGCGTCGAATTAACTGAAATCCGGGCTTGATCCGGGTAATTGGATGTAGTTGGCAATATCTGCCGGCGGTTCTCAAAATGTTCGATTATGTTTTTAAATTTTCAAAGTTAAATAACTCAGTTATTTTCAATTTATTTTAAAAATGGTAAAGAGAAAATATGTTTATTTTGACCAGATCTACCACCTCTTAAAATATCTGCACTTATTTCTGGGACACCCTGTAGAAAAGGGTGTTTCCATTTAAAGCGTCGAATTTGACCCACCCTGTACAATTTGCGTCTAATTATTTGTTGTAGTACAGTTTTAAAAAAACCAAAAACCGCAAGGGGAAAATTTCCGATTTTGTTAATTTTACACTCAGAAGACAGTCGCTGACAAACTCTTAAAAAATCAGCTTGCCCGTATTTTTTTTACTCTCTATACGGCGATACAATTTTACTGGATTATATGAACATGTTGTTTACAGCGTCTTCCGTTTGGCAAAAAAGTGGAACAGGTTTGTACAAACCGCATCCTCCTATCTTCACTAATAACGGAGATACCGTATGATTTCAACCAAAATGGAACACCCTGTACTTATATTTTGCAATCAGAAATATCATACGATCGAAAAAAGGGCGTTAAAGTTGGCTTGGAAATGAAGGTCTGTTATATTTCCAAGCCAACTTGACGCTGTTTTTTTTTTTTTCGTTCATACTTTGCTTTATTAAAGTAATCCATTCTTAAAGGTGCATTTTGAGTATACATTATTGTATAAACCCATTGTTTGTTGTAATTTTCGATATAGCTTGTAATCTTATATGCATGATTGAGAATATTTTAAAATAGAAGAGTGTTATTTCCAAAACATAATTTATTATGAACATATATGATTTCAATAAGTGAAAAAATGCCTTTGAAATAACACTCAAACTATTATAAACTCACCGGCAAAAAAAAACGGCCACTAAAAACTAGACCAGTTTTCAAAGTGGTATCCCTTGCGAAACGCACCATTTAGACTTTTTGGATGATTTTTCTTTTAAATTTAAATTAATTCCTTTTTTAACGGATGCCTACGGTCAGAAATTTTTAAGTTCTCCATTTATTTTGAGCATATCCAGGGCACAACAATAAGACGAATTTTTGCCTCGAGCTTTGTAACACCCTGTAGGGTGCAGCAGTTGTAGTAGCTATTGCTAAATTAAATCACATTGTAACCTCAATCGTTTCTGATGAAGCATTTTATTTTATTAAATCAACCACATTATCTTCTTTTTGTAATTGGAGATATGCTGGTTTAAAACGAACGTCTCGCAAAATTAAGAATTCATCTGGAAAAAAGGCCCCCCCCCCAAAAAAGAAAGTTTTATGTGTAAATAATCAAGGCAAAAACGGATTTATGAGTATTTGCAATATGAGAAAAACGGTTGTCAAATTAAAAAAATGCCATTATCTGTAACAAAATGTTGCTCGTGCTTTTTTCGAGGCGTTTGTTTTAAAGCAGCGTATCTCCAATACAAACAGAGATAATGTCGTGATTAAAAAAACAAAATGCTCACAAAAGATGAGGCTACAATGTGATTTGATTTAGCAATTGCTACTACAGCTGCTGCACCCTACAGGGTGTTACAAAGTTTGGGCAAAAAACTTCTTCTTATTGTTGTGCCCTGTAAAATCCTCAAATAAATTTGGAATATTATTAAAAACAAAAAAAAAAAGTTAAAAAAGGAATAATTTACAATTTAAAAAAAATCATCAAATCTAACGAGTGGTTCGGGAGAAATCCAACTTTGAAATTGGGACTAGATTTTAATGGTCGTTTTTTTTGCCGGTGAGTGTATTTTACTTTCTTTTTTTAATTTTAAACTATCAATTTACTGTGGATGGGATCACAATCTAATATTTATATTTAGAATGAAATAAACGAGAGTAAATGGACTTATAAGTAAAAATGAATTTAATATAAAGCAGTGACAGCGTTAGCAAAACAATGGGCCCGACCTAAATTAGTGTTTATAATCAGAAAATAATGTAACTTGTGGAAATTTTCTAAATTAAAGTGTTTTGTTACGATGTTCGCAGAGCCCAAGGTCGAGCAGACTTCATCGGAAGCAGACAGTGAGTTGTCCTCACACGCTATCCCATACCACACAGGTTAGTTTATTTTTCTTTAGAAGCTTAGTTGATTTGACAGGAGATTTTGACAATTCGACGGTTTACTCGGTCAAAACCAAGGAATCAGTTGCATGAAACTGTTCATGAGTGCTTATACAGGGTGTCCCAGGCTGGGCGTGCACTAGAAGTTCCTAGAGAACCACAATATCTAGATCGGAGATTTTTTGCACATTACTGTGTGTTATTGTACTGTTTTTTGCACATCGTTGTTTTACAACGAGATCTATCGATTAAAAATATTTTCAATATGTTGAAAACAGTGGCGGCTCGTGACTCGTGTGACTGGGTAGGCTACAGTATTTAGTTGCCTCTATTTGTAGTAACAAACAATTTGAAAGCCTCTGGAAATATATTAGGGATTATTCTCCTTTAATTATTTTGTAATCGAAATTATCATATCTATTATTAATACCTGCAATTTATTCAATAATTTATGTTGGTCAATAACATTGTTTGTTTGTTAAATCACTATTAAATGCGTTGGAAATATATCAATATAACAAGTTTGTTAAATCAGATTTAATCAGCGTTGGAAATTTTTTATAGGATTCTTTAAATTTCGGATCCGCAAGAAATAATTATAAATAATTGAGACATATGAGTACCTATCTGCAAACCTTATTTCTAAATGTAAAACAATGTTATCTAATATTTCATAAAATAAAATTCGCAAAGATATTTAACTTAGCCGCTTTTATTAACATATCGAATTGAAATAGCACACTGAGACTTTTCTGTAATATCTGTTGTATCGTCTTCTTGCACCGAATAAAATAACGCGCTTTTTATTTCGGATTCTTTTATTTCTGTGGCGTGTTCTGAAGTACAACCGGTTATATTATTTTGAATAATCTCGGACAAGCCCGAAAAATGTTTCCAATTTGCTTTAAACGTTTTTTGAATTTTCATATAAAAGTTTTTAATGCTACGTATAATTAATCACATGAAATATCCCCTTAACGAAATGTGATATTATCCCCTTATGAAATATCGGGAATATCCCCTTAACTTCTAAGCCTACCGAGCCTCCACGACTTCATGCTAAGTCGACCGGAGATTTCGCCTAAGCCCGCCTTAATACAATACAAGTCCGACTTACGTCGCGTCGCTACCGCACGATGAGTTATGAGTTAGACGGAGACAGAAGACTGCCGTACGTCGTGCTTCGACTCTGATGGTAGGCGATGTAGAAATCGCCGAACAAAGGCACTCCAACGTTCAAAACAGTCAAAATTATTTTGTTTTCTAACGCAGCGTACGCCAGCGGTAGTGAATATTTTAATATACAAGACCACAAATATTAAAATAATATTGATTACTAAAACACACTTCCGTGTATTAACAGTATTTTTATGTATTTACAACATTAATAGTACTTATAGTTATAGTATATAATATATTGTAGTATATAATGTAATAAAACGCTTAAATTCTGCCAATATCTTAGGGTAGGTGCCGCCTACCTTGCCTACCCTGAGCCGCCACTGGTTGACAACAACTTTCTTATTTTAAATGGGTGCCCCCATTTTTTATTACATACTTAAATTCTCTGTAAAATTCTATGAATATTGATGTTAAACACTCTATATCTAACATTAACCGTTTTTGGGGAAAAAATATTTAAAATTTTTGGACCAAAAAAACTACCTGTCAATAGAATTTGTATAGCCTAAAAGTCAAATTTAGTGATTACCACAGCCACTGTGATATAAAGGGAAGACATGTGGCTATCTATTTCAAAAATTAAATTGTTCAAACATCATATAATAATGGCGGTAGCTGTCATGGAAATGAGCGATTAAAAAATTATCTTAAATTATTTTTTTCAAATGGAAACCCACTTTTTTTTATTTCACTAATGAAAAGGTTTTCCAATTCGTTACTTTTTGAGTATACATGTTCCTATACCTAAAATAAACCGTTTTTAAGTTATTTAAGATTTAGTTTGAAAACGTATATTTTTCTTGGTTTTATTTAGCTTCCTTTGCCTAATGTCAAATTAAGTGTCAAACATCAGACAGTAAATAGTGCCTGATTAAGAGTTTAAAAAATGTATTTATAAAAATATATCTCGTATTTTCGCTCTTTAGTGATATCTAATAGTTGATATTATTAATAATATACTGTATGGTCGAAAAAGAGAACAGCGCTTGGAAATGATGATCGATAACATACTGCTTTTGGAACAAAGTTTCACAATATGACATGGCCAGATCTATCGTTTCACATCACTTGACGTTTAAAGTCGTTGGCTACTGGTTAAAATCAAGAAAAATATAAGCTTTAAAACTAAATTTTAAATAATTTAAAAACGATTTATTTTAGGTATAGGAACATGTATAGTCAAAAAGTTACGAATTGAAAAGCCTTTTCACTAGTGAAATAAAAAAAGTGGGTTTCCATTTGAAAAAAAATGATTTATGATAGTTTTTAATCGCTCAATTCCATGGCAGCTGCGGTTTATATGATATTCAAACAATTTAATTTTTTAAATAGATATATAGCCACATGTTTCCTCTTTATGGCACAGTGGCTGTGGTAATCACTAAATTTGACGTTTAGGCTATACACATATTTTTGCCAGGCAGTTTTTTTTGTCCAACAATTTTAAATATTTTTTTTTCTCAAAAACGGTTAATGTTAATGTAAGATATAGAGTGTTTAACAGAATTTGTTATCTAGAAACTTCTAATGCGCGCTCAGCCTGGGACACACTGTAGATCTTTCCAATCTTGTAATTACGATAAAAATCTTATATCTTCCAGTAAATTGGGATGGTTAAAATACCCAATTGAAGACAGAAATAATCTTAATATAAAATATATTTCTTGAAAAAATCATTCAGTAATCAGCATATTATTGGTGGGCTATCATAACTGGGTATATTGTTGCATACAACTGATATTATGGTTTAAACTGTGTAAATGGATGAGCTGCCTAACAAGAGGGTAGGTAGAACTGTGCTTAATTCAATTTGTCCTGCTATGGATTTTTTGAGTAATCTAGATCATTGCTTCAAATATTGTTCTTAAAAAACAAAAATATCAATTATGCAACATAAAATTTAGCTTTTTACTATAAATCACGTATGTGCTTATAAAGCTGGACCTTTAACCATTGATTTGATATAGAAGTATGTACTTTTGCCTCTAAAATAATGTTGGTTGAATCAGGAAAGATTTTAACAGGTTTGTCATTAGCGATATAATACATTTCTGTAAAACTGTAACCCTGTAATAATAATATTAATACGTGCTTCTTTTAAATATCTACCCTAATGTCTACTGCAATTTTACTTTTTTATACAGGGTGTCCCAGAAATAAGTGCAAGTATTTTAACTGGTAGTATAGTTCAACCCCAGAAATACGCCCGAGTTTTTTTTGCGAAAAAAAAAATTTGGAAAAATCGGAATTTTTTGAAATTTTTTTTGGAAATTTTTTTAGTTTTTATTTAAAAAAAATAATTTCTTGATAATATGGCAACATATGTAGGTAGTAAATTAAATTTACAGGCTGATCCAGTGGTTCTCAAAATTTTAGCAAAAATTATTTTTTTTAGGAAATTTTCACTTATAATATCACAAGAGCTTAAATTATTTTCGGAAATTTTTTTGAGGGCACGAATATTTTGAAAATTATCCCGAGTCGAAGACGAGGGATAATTTTTCTAAAATATTCGTGCCCGAAAGAAAATTTCCAGGAATAATTTAAGCTTGCGTGGTATTCGGTAAGAAAATTTCACACCTAAATTTGAAAAAAAAATTAATCCAACATGACATTTTAAAAATAATTTCAATTTGTTAAGTTGGCCAAAGGTATTAATAATTGTGTTTTTAATGATTAATAAAACCTATAATTACTAAATGTGTTTCGTTATTATTTTGCTATATTAGTCGATATCATTAAAGATTTGGCATTAAGATAATTCAACATGAAATAAATTCTAAAAAAATCATATAGATATATCCATCATATTTCGTTAAATAGAAAAATACCAGCTTTAGTTAAATAAAGGCGGCAGAACTATATTTTTTAGAACATGGCAATTTCGAAGAAATTCATATGTAGGTATATCTAACATATTTCCTTAAATCAAAAAATATTACCAACCTTAGTTACATCAAATGCTAAAACTCAAATGGGTAATATTTCAATATATAGACATTGTAGTTCATTCACATTATGATTGTAGATCTTATGTTTACCTTTTCAACTGTCAAAAAATTTCGACTAAAGTTTCGTGGCGCCTCGAAAAAATTTCCGGAAACTAGTAAACATTAAAGCATGTTATTGGTTGAAAAGTAGAGGTGTGAAATTTTCAAAGTAAAATAACTCCGTTATTTTGGACTTATTTGAAAAACGGTAAAGAGAAAATATGTTTCTTTCATCGAGATCTACCACCCCTTAAAATATTTGCACTTATTTCTAGGACACCCTGTATAGACAAAAAAATATTAACTTGTTAAATTCGCTAGCTTTTAAGCTTATGCTGTGTTATTACTAATTACAATAGTATATTATTTTATTAAGACTAAAAATTATACTTGCTGGCGAGGCTGCGACATACAGGCGAGGTACAAAATGTCATTTTTACTCCGAATAGAATATGCTATTTTTTCAGGCGCCTCAAATAATTTTTAAACGAGTTCAGACTTCTAAATAATATTAAAATATCTAAAAGTCATACCTTGTGTACAAAAGTGGCTCACCCCTATACCTTTTTTTTATTTCTTCAGATAAAAAAAAACGATATTTGGTATGTTAATATATGACATAAATTAGGACTGATTGACGTATTTACTTGTTTTTGGTCACTTCCTATTTCACCGGAAATAACTACTTTTGATTTTTAAATGACACCCTCGGTATTTTTTTTTACATTGTTCTGACAGAAAATGATACTGAATAGAATGACATATGTCAACTTTTGACATTTTCGCATATGGTTTATTTGAAATTGTAACATGCGCTTTATAACGACAATTTGAGTCGAAATACCAAGTGTGGGATACCAAATTATTCTTAAAAAAATGCTTTTTCAGAGTATGCTAATAAGACACTTTTGTTCCATTTGAAAAAATTGAGATATGTTTAAAAAAACGATTTGGGCATCTTTTAATCAGCCAGGATAAGACACGAAAAACATTAGATGATCAAATCTATTTTTCCAAGGCTCCTTGATTAAAAATTAATGTTTTTAACATAGCCATGGCACTCTACTATTTTTTGTAATCGAAAATGTCAAAAATTAACATATGATACGCCATTCTATTCAGAGAGTGTCATTTTCTGTCGAATAAAAAAAATAAATAAAGTAAAAAATGTACCTGCCATTTAAAATCAAAAGTTGTAGTCATTTCAATTGAAACAGAAAGCGACCAAAAACATTGTAAACGTCAATCAATCCTAATTTATGTATATATACTAACATACCAAATTTTTTTTTATTTGGAAAAATAAAAAAGTTATAGGGGTGAGCCAAGAACGGTAAACTAATAGGATTGCTCATCCTCATAAGACGTACGTTCGCCTCTTCCCGCGCTTCAGCTGACAGTAGTGACGTCATTGTAGTCCTTGTCATGATAGTGTGTATTATTAGTTGCCTATGGTAAACTTATAAAAATAACAGCTGAGAAATTTTGAATTAATTATTTTGTCAATTTTAAATGTGGAAAGGGTGTTTTTAAAGTTTTTAGAGCTATAGAGTGTATAAATACGTTCATTTTGTGTTGTGGATTGTGACAAAGTGCTTACTAAGTGCCTACGATATTGTTTATTAATTATTTTAAAGCAAAATATGGAAGTACTCTAAAAAGAATGCCTGCAACAGGTAAAGCTGGGAACTGCTGTTCTTAAAAATGCATTATCCGAGTATTTAATACGATTTATACAGTTAATTTTCTATACTGCATACATATAAGGTGTTTAAATAAATAAATTAAATAATGAACGTTTTGCATCCGGCAACCAATAATGCACGTGTGTGTATTATTGGTTGCCGGATAAGGATTAATAATCATGACAAGGACTACAATGACGCCACAACCAGCAGAGGAGTTTTCGCATGCACCCTGGCAGACGCGGCTGAATGAGCAGTCCCTATTTTTTTTAACTGGTTAACTGTTCTTGGTGGTGAGCCACTTTTGAGGCGCATCGAGGAAACTATGATTACGCCCGTTGAATTTGACACATAATGTCAGTTTAATCAAAACAACACACATTCAATTTGGTACAAATGGTACAATTTGACACAAATGTCAGCAAAATCCAACGAAAAATAAGCAAAAATTATAAATGAAACTTTAGAAAATAATTTGGGATTTTTTATGCATATTTAGTACCTATTCTCGTAATGGTTAATTTTTATATTGAAATTTTTCTGTAAGCGTCAAATGAATATGTTGATTAGGCAACTTTGTGTTTGCATTAAAGCTACTGAATATACGGGGTGTTTCTTAAAAAAATTAGGGTGTAATTCCTCATATGTTTTAAAAAAAAATATACCGATAAATATGCGGTGTAAATGTACTTCCTTGATGAAACTAGAAGGTTTAGGTATAGAAACATGATATATCGTTGAAAAGTATTTTTATTTGGGTTTCGATTTGTTAAATAATATACATAGACTTGGATTTAAAATAACAATAATTTTAACGATTTTATAACAATCGGAAATAATTATTTTTTCTGACCTCACTGTTTGATATCCAATCAGTTAATTTAGACAGATCGAATGTGTCGACTTTCCTTAACCTATAAACCAAATTTTAGCTTTAAAGATGCCGAATTTATGATTTAAGTAATGCTTATTCAAGATCAATTTTACGCATGTTTTATTTTTTATCTCGAAAACTATAAGAGATAGGTTAGTTGGTTATGGTTGATAAGAACTGTCTAAAATGACAGCTCGATTGGCTCTGCTTCCATTATGGCGTAATTTGCCAGCACGTTAGGTGTGACCGCAGACCATCTGACTTTGCGTCATGCTGCGATCACTGGATAGTTTTTTTTAATTTTACTAAACACAAAAAAGTCATTATACACTCACCGGCAAAAAAAACGGTCACTAAAAACTAGTCCCAATTTCAAAGTTGGATTTCTCGCGAACTCTACGGGGCACAACAATAAGACGAAGTTTTTTGCCCGAACTTTGTAACAAATTGTAGGTTGCAGAAGCTGTAGAAGCTATTGCTAAATCAAATCACATGCTACAGCTGCCTCATCTTTTGTGAGTATTTTGTTTTTTTAATCACATTATCTCTGTTTGTATTGGAGATATGCTGCTTTAAAACGAACGTCGCGGAAAAATGCTTCGCAGGCAAAACCGCGATTCATCCGGAAAAAGGACTTGAGTCCATTGCTCCATATCCCAATTCACTCGACGATGTCTTAGAAGTAGCTGGTATCCTGTGGCAGGCCTCCTTGCAGACAAGCTGTTTTCTTTTAGTCTTCGTCGGATTGTTCTCTCACTGACTTGAGTTCTACGCACGGCTTGTAGCAGATGTTGATTCTGAAACGCTCTAATTCTACGATTTCGTAAAGTATGGTGAAATTTCCCGTTTCCATATACCGATTCCAGGCATCCTGGACTGTTGTTCGAGGTATATCCAGGGTATCGCACACATAACGTTGACTTCGGCCATCCCCAATTAAAGCCACAATACGAGCAACATCCGTCACAGATAATGGCATTTTTTAATTTGACAACCCTTGATTATTTTATTTTTATTTTGCCTTGATTATTTACACATAAAACTTTCTGCCTGGGAAGCATTTTTCCGACGTTCCTTTTAAACCAGCGTACATATCTCCAACACAAACAGAGATAATGTCGTGATTAAAAAAATCAAATGCTCACAAGAGATGAGGCTACAATGTGATTTGATTTAGCAATAGCTACTACAGCTGCTGCACCCTACAGGGTGTTACAAAGTTCGGGCAAAAAACTTCTTACTGTTGTGCCCTGTATATGCTCAAAATAAAATCGGAATAAACATTTCTGACGTAGCATCCGTTAAGAAGGAATTAATTTACAATTTAAAAAAAAAATCATCAAAATCTAATGAGTGGTTTGCGAGAAATCCAACTTTGAAATTGGGACTAGTTTTTAGTGGCCGGTTTTTTTTGCCGGTTATGATCAAATCTCTCTCCCACGCTGGCAGCATCCGGCTGCATAGGGCCTGGTTACCCCCGTGACAACGTGAAAAAAGAGTTGTCCTTTAAATATATTTTCTCACGGCACTTTAAAGTAGGCCAACTTTAAAAATATTTCACAAAAATATGTATCTGAATGGGACACGAATTTATTTTAAACACTTGCACCAAAAAAATATTAGACTTTTACAAAACGATTACAAGAATATTAACGGAAAAAAGGAAACAAATACCGACCCGAACAATCAGCCGTCAGACAGTATTCGATGTTGCCACGACTACTGACGAAGCAGAAGTCCCTGGTATAGGTTAGTATAATAGAAAAATTTTGAGACGTGGAAGTAGTTTCGGAAAGTATAAGAATATCCTGGTGTTCCATTTAAAATAACAAAGATGATACACTTTTAGTATGAAGTCGCAACACTGTAATGCTGAAAATAATTTAGACAGATGGAGAAAGTGCCCTTATGCAAAAATCCTACCACGGGTTCTCCATAGACGTGTAACTTGCCATGCATGGCCGTGAATCACCCTATAGTGCCCCTACACTTGACAAAAAAAGTTATCTCTACTAATATATAAAATCCTTAAGTGACTGACATACTGATTAATCACGATCCTGTTCAAGCCACTCAACGTAAGAAGCTCAATTTTGGCATACAGGTTGATTCTAGGGTGTAGAGGTTCGATAAGAAGGGATTTTTTGAAATTCAAGTTCCAAGAGGGTGAAACCAGCCCTCAAATATTCCAATATTTTTTATTTAAAGAACGGTCAAGTTTCCGAAAAAACGCTTAAACACGTATATTTTGTTTTGTTTTTTTACATATTTTAAGATTTTTTAAAAATGTATACAGGGTGTTTCGAAAAATCTGGTCATTGATTAATCACGATCCTGCTTAAAGCGCTTGACGTAGAAAGCTGGTTTGTGGAAAACAGATTGACTTTAGGGTGTAGAGGTTCTATAAGAAGGAATTTTACGAAACTCGAATTCTAAGGGAGTGAAACTATCCTTCAAATATTAAAATATTTTTTTATTTAAAAACCGGTGATTTTTTCGGAAAAACTCTTAAACACGTATATTTTATTTTGTTGTTTTACATATTTTAAGATTTTTTTATAAATTTATACAGGGTATTTCATAAAATATGACCATTGAGTAATCACGGTTCTGCTTAAACTTCTTGACGTTTAAAGCTGATTTTTGGTAAACGGATTGACTGTGGGGTGTAGAGGTTCGATAAGGAGGGTTTTCTCGAATCTCAAATTCCAAGAGGGTAAAAACGCCTCTCAAATATTACAATATTTGTTATTTAAAAAACGGTTTGGCTTTCGGGAAAACGCTTGGACAAGCATAATTTATTTGTTTTTTTTTTTACATATTTTGATTTGTTTGATTTCTTAACCACGATTCTGCTTAAACTGCTTGATGTAAAAAGCTTATTTTTGGCAAACAAATTTTTCGAAAGTCAAATTCCAACGAGATGAAACTACCCCTCAAATATTACCAAGTTATATAATAATATCGCCATATTGTTTTTTCTCGTGCTGACATAAATGTGAGAAAAATTTATCCAGTTTGTATGTTAATGGAAATTCTTGCTGTGCTTTATCATCACCATTACAAATGATTAATTTGACGCGAACGAAGTCACTGGTACACGCTAGTTATACATAAAATATACAATCTGACTGCACACTTCCACATCTGTCCACACCACGTATATTAAGGTATCTGAATGTCGTTTTTGGTTTCAGTGTTACCAGCCACAGCTATACAAATATCGAGCGGGGAAGGTGGACAGGGCATCCATACCCTTACGATGACAAATGCCACAGCGGGTGGCGCAATTGTACAGTACTCTCCAGGACAGGAATTCTTTGTGCCTGGTATGTTAATTAAATATTTTAAGATAACCGTCACTAAATGAAAATGCTTAATGTATGTTTTATGTGAAAAGCCACTGGGTTCAGGATACACATTCGCAAATTTCTCACTGGCTCTTTACTTAAACACAAACTTGCCTAACCAACATAACGATTACGTCACATTTAACTTATCAAAAAATAAACTCACCGGCAAAAAAAACCGGCCACTGAAAACTAGTCCTAATTTCAAAGTTGGATTTTTTGCGAACTAGTCCCTAATTTCAAAGTTGGATTTTTTCTTTAAATTATAAAAATTAATTCCTTCTTAGCGGATGCTACGTCAGAAATTTTTATTCCGAATTTATTTTGAGCATACAGGGTACAACAATAAAACAAAGTTTTTTGCCCGAACTTTGTAACACGCTGTAGGGTGCAGCAGTTGTAGTAGCTATTGCTAAATCCAATCACATTGTAGCCTCATCTTTTGTGAGCATTTTGTTTTTTTAATCACGACATTATCTCTGTTTGTATTGGAGATACGCTGCTTTAAAACGAACGTCTCGGAAAAATGCTTCGCAGGCAGAAAGTTTTATGTGTAAGTAATCAAGGCAACGGTTGTCAAATTAAAAAATGCCATTATCTGTGACGAATGTTGCTCGTATTGTGGCTTTAATTGAGGATGGCCGAAGTCAACGTTATGTGTCCGATACCCTGGGTATACGTAGAACAACAGTCCAAAATGCCTGCAATCGGTATACGGAAACAGAAAATTTCACCAGTCGAGTGGGTTCCAGAAGAAAACGGAAGACAAATGCAATTGACGACCGCTTTATTGTCCTGAATACTTTACGAAATCGTAAAATTACAGCGTTTCAGAACCAACAGCTGCTACAAGTCGTGCGTAGAACTGAAGTCAGTAAGAGAACAACCCGACGAAGACTAAAAGAAAACAGCTTGTCTGCAAGGAGACCTGCCACAGGACCGCTACTTCCAAGATGTAGTCGAGCACGTCTTCAGTTTGCGCGTTTAAGTGTGAATTGGGATATTGAGCAATGGACTAAAGTCCTTTTCACGGATGAATCACGGTTTTGCCTGCGAAGCATTTTTCCGAGACGTTCGTTTTAAAGCAGCGTATCTTCAATACAAACAGAGATAACGTCATGATTAAAAAAAAACAAAATGCTCACAAAAGATGAGGCTACAATGTTATTTAATTTAGCAACAGCTACTATAGCTGCTGCGCCCTACAGGGTGTTACAAAATTCGGACAAAAATCTTCGTCTTAGTATTGTTTTCGTGTGTACGAAGAGTACGGTCAACACGCTTAGTAAAATAAGATGTACTGAATAAAGACAGAAGAGCAAGTATTTTCCTAAGCGCATGAATTCTAGCGTCGGACTAAGTGGTTATGCAATAAATACTTAGCATTCTTGCTCTCTCCGACTTACTAGATTGTCATAGCGATTCACTCCTATACATGTAAACGCCGACCCAAAGTTTCGCTTGCCAGGATGGTATTTCCTCACGGTACCCATAACCAGTTTGTTCTAGAGTAAACTATGACGTGTGACGTCACGTGCATTACAAGTGCAACTTCTAAAAAAAATAAATATAGATTGTTATTCTCGAGACATTAAATCTTGGGCTTGGCGTGCACACATGCACTTGTTAAGAACTCTTTGACAGTGATAGATGTACGTGTCATTTTAATTTCAAAGTAGTTTATTTTATTTTACAAAGAAATAAGTTGGTACAATTGTAACGCATAGCAGGAAATTAATATATTTAAAATTTGACTGACAAGGGCAAGTGATTACTTCAAAATATTGTGAAAAAACTGTATAAAATTGAAAAAATGTAATTGAGTTATTTTATTAAAAAACGGTATGTGTTAATACAAAACAAACAAGAACAAAACACCACATACCAAAAAAAATATATAAAAAAGAACTATTTCTTACTTTCATGCTTCAAGAAACTTCCCGCATTTATTATTATATTTATCAATAGAACATGTACAAATACAAATTTGTAATATTCCACAGGAATAAATAAAAGAACGTAAATAAAACAAACTATTTGATTAATAACACTTACCAAATTTTAACCTTAAAGGTTTATTAAAAGTTGAATTAACTTTAATCTTAATTTTTTTAAACCAGTACCTTTTGACATTATTTTTCTGCAGTAATAAAATCCATTATTTACCTATCGTGTGATGTCGATACATTACAGCTACTCCAATTTTTAGTATATGTTTAGTACGATCCTTGTACCATATACGAGATGCACTTATCTACGACGAGATGGTATACAAACTTTATTGATGGTAACTTTATTGGTGTATAAGACTTTCTGTCTGGGCAGCGAGTGTTAACTATAAACTGTGCTCTGGGTGTACAGTTATTTTTCCCTCGATTTTTCCTCCACTTGACTTCAAAAGACACAAAACACATAACCTATAATTTAGCAAGACTTTGCCAAGCCTCAAAAATCTAAAGACGAGTTCATACGCATCGGCGTCCGTTTGTCGTTCATCGTTTCGTCAAACTAATAAAATTGAAATGTGATCAGTCATTTTTGAAATAAACCAATAAAACTGGTGAAAAACAAGAGACGGCGCATGACGGATTTATATTTAAACCCATCCATAGCTAACTTATTATTAGAAACTTTTTTTTAGTAAAATAAATAGATCGATTCAATAAATAATTGTCTCGCCGCCTGTATCGATGGTTGACGAAATAACATGTTTTCCATCCATACTAGTTGTTTTTTGGAATTGCTTCGAGCAGCATAGAATTTCGTGACAGTGCAGAGCGCCGACTTCGTTTTTCGTTTCACGAGCGGCCGATCTCTACGTGTCGTTATTTTATATCTGATATTTTTTAGGAGTAGTAACGGTTGCGTTATGTTATTTATAAATAATTGTTATAAAATAACAGATAGTTAAATAACAACCCATCACTACCATAAATCCATAGAAACACTAGTTATTTGAACAGATCTGGTGCGATGTAGTTCGTTAATGTCCCAAATGGTGATTCTCTTAAACCCGTGTTTTGTGGTAAAACACCAATGGTATACTCCCATCTCAGCTATAGTTTGGGCTATTGGTATCTTCGTCAACTTGGTAACTATCGACTCAAAAATCTGCCATCCACAAGTCAGGTGGATTCCCGCCGCTGCCACCACCACTTACAAGACAAATACGATTTTATCGAAATCTTACCTGAGAAAAAAAAAGTATATCGTGCATCTCATATCCGTATATCTTATTTTAACAGATCAGTCGATACACTTCTCTGTTAATAAAATTATTAAAAATAACGTAAATTTGCCGCATATCTTTACTAATCAAACACTCATTTAGTTGTAGCCCAAGGAGGTAACCTCAGTTCGGGCGGCAACGAAGACCAAGCGAGGAAGCGCGAAATGCGACTGCTCAAGAACAGGGAGGCAGCGGCGGGAATCCACCTGACTTGTGGATGGCAGATTTTTGAGTCGATAGTTACCAAGTTGACGAAGATACCAATAGCCCAAACTATAGCTGAGATGGGAGTATACCATTGGTGTTTTACCACAAAACACGGGTTTAAGAGAATCACCATTTGGGACATTAACGAACTACATCCCACCAGATCTGTTCAAATAACTAGTGTTTCTATGGATTTATAGTGATAAGGTTGTTTTATTTAACTAGCCTGTTATTTTATAACAAGTGACTATAAATAACATAATGCAACCGTTACTACTTCTAAAAATAACAGATATACCAAATAACGACTTGCGAGATCGGTCGCGTGAAGAGCAGCTTGAAGTCGCGCTCTGCACGGTCTGAAAATTCTATGCTGCTCAGCAATTAAAAGCGCTTATGAATGAAGCATGACAACTGCGTCAACCGACGGCAGCGATGACGAATCGATTGAAGTTACGTATTGCTATTGCTTTTTTTAGGTGTTATTGGATTATCATCATTAGGTTTATTGGTTCCATCATGTCTCAAACGTATCGGTCTCTTGAAAAAGCTAACTGCCAGAGTATTGAAGTAATGATTACAAAGTCCCGCTTAAGATGGGCTGGTCACGTATGCAGAATGCAAGAAACCGCATACCAGAATCTCTGCTTTACGAGCTTGTAGACGGTAAGAGGGAGGCCGGGTGGACAACTCAAAGGTACAAGGATATTTTCCACGAAAAGTCTCCCTTAAAAGGAATTAAGAAGCGGATGGGTGGAAGGGCAGCTCACAATGGGAGACGGATGGAGAAGAATTATAAAGTCAGTTAACAGCGACAACCAAAAAGTAAAGAGGCAACAAAGCAATGAGATTTTTGAATGTCTGGAATGCGGTAGACAGATGACATCACGTATCGGGCTTTTCAGTCACAGAAAAGCTCATGAAAGAAAACGCCTTGCGTGACCAGCTTCTGATGCGTGTCAAATACTCGTCAGCGAGTAATGGCAGTATATGTATGTATTGGATTGGGAACTTAAATTTTTCAAGATTTTCTGGATTTCGGGGATAAACATACACCGGGATTCCAGTTTATCCCAACCACCGTTTAGTCGTTGTAAAGTGATACGTGTGAGTCTAGCCTTACTTTTTTAGGTGTCTTCATATGAGGGTATGCGGTAACGAATCAAGATGGACTGCGTCGTCCAGTCCTGCGGCGTTATGTACACACCGATTAGTTTTCCGTCTCGGTATTGATTCCTGCGACCGCCGCGAAGAGGTTAGAGGTCGTTCGGGAGGCTTTTCTCGCTCCTTATCTCGGCCTCGGCTCTTCGCGGCATCACGATCCGCGAGTTCGTTTGCCCTGCCATGCCGGAGTGACCGGTCACTTTGGGAAGGATGCCTCGGAATCGATTACTAGCGTAATTATAGAAGGGAACGAACACGATAATCGCGTCTTCTAGCAGAGGAAATAAATAGAAAGATTTACTATAGATTTGTAAACAGATATGGAAATGGTGGTAGTAGTTAAGCATCAGTAAATTTTAGTAATATATGGGTGTCACTTCTAATGGACACTACATAACGTAAACCTTCGTAAAAAAGAAAATATTGTATATGTTACAGTGAAAGTGGGAAATTCAGTGATTGTTAACATTCACTAGGAAATGCTAACAATTACGCATTGGACCAGTGAATGTGATATTTTAAAGAGATTTGTCGACTTTTCCTAGGAATTTCTAACATTCACTATAGTGAAAGCAACATTTACTAAAGGTCCTTTACTAAAGGGACGGGCGTGGAGAGGAATAATGTTAGTGGAAGTTAGAACAAATATAACTTTTACGAATATCGGATCTCCTCAATATTCAAGCTGATCCACAAAATAGGCATGGGCGTACGGTGTTATATGAAAGTAATGTGTATCATAAATATAATACTCAGATTAATATTTTTTCAAAAACTTTTATGCTGTTTGAATCGTTACTGTTGAGTTAGCAGATAAACACTAAAAGCTTTTATTAAAGCTCCCTTAAATATTTTGAATCATTTTATTATTGTGTTGTTAATATAATAGAAGAAATAATTACAGCTGGGGTTGGAACCTTTGGTGTTACACAGCAAAATAAAACACTAAATCAGTACAATACACCAAAACACTTTTAATTTTACACTGACGCACGTTTCGCTAACCATGTCTGCCATCAGCAGATGATCAAGACTGAGTCTTGAGGTATATTTATTTATATATCTGTACTAACTATATTTTTTTCTATAATACATAATTTTAGATATAACTATTTCCAGCAAAAAAAAATCTTGAAAATAGTTAACTTTGGAAGCGCAAACAAAACATAATTTTACTCATCAGTAGATCTGATATTGCCTATTACACCAGATATGGTATCGCTCCGCCAGCAGTTTTTAAAGGTTAGGTCATTGTCTACCCATATGTTACATCCAAATAGATAATACTTGGCTATATTTTCGAATTTCGCGTATATATATTTATATCTCTCTCTGCAATATAATGGGCCGCTCCATTAATATTTATCTGTTATTTTAACATTTACGCCAAAAAAATTCATTTGATTTTAATAACCCCCTAAGCGTTTCCCTGCAAAAGGAAAATTCGATTCTTCCTGCAATTTTTGCAAAAGCTTTCTAATTGTGGGGACGAGTTTGAATTCGAGATAAAATCTATTTATCAAATTCCTGACCACTTCGAAAAAGTCGTTGAGCTTTTCGACAGCAGTCTCACGTGGTCGTTTCTTTCCAGAGAGGATATCATTTTATCGGGGTTAGTTTTCAGCCTTTTTTTTATCTTCTGTGTGAATTTTTTTATAGCCGATACGCTAACTCCGGTATAAAGAAATATCCGCTCAAGTTTACGTTTAAGCGGCAACTCAAGCGAACTCTCTGTAGCTTCTTCATCGCAAACCCTATTATGAACACAAGGAAATACACCAAATGAGATTTCATCCACGTTATTATTAACTTACCTATATAAATTAGCTATTATTTCTCTTGTCTGACTATGTAGCGTCTTACCCTTAACAAATTTATTCGTTTTAAAACACAAATATACGATCAAACTTGATATTAATAATTAAAAACTACGAACGAAAAACATTATAACAAGATAACAAAACAATAAAACACAACTTAACTATCAAATATACTAAAAATATAGGAATAAAGTTTAGGATAACCGGTATAAAATAATGAAATAAAGTAATAATGATCAAAAAAATGACACCGCCACTGGATATTTCAATAGTATTCAATATTCCTACTCTTTTCAGAAGAGACCGTGAAGTTGGGGATAAAGCAAGCGAATAGGAAAGGCGTAAAAGCCATGGCAACCGCGTGGTAACAAATCCTGTGACGTACTGCCAATCATGTTCGATGAATAGGCGGCCATGCGCGGCGATGCCGGTTTGCCAATGATATCGTTGAAAATCTTCAACTTTCATAATAGGCAGATTATACAGAATGAAAGAAATAAGTTATTAAATAAAACATATCGAACAATATGAACTACGTTAAAATTCCTTAGTAATATACGTCAGAATATATGCTAAACACATTATATATAATAAAAATATATTAAATTTATAGTTCATGTCTGGCAATTTTGCAATTTTATAGATAAACGGAAAATATCGATTTTTTTTCTCGCATTCCTTCCGTAGCTACAGATCCGCTGGTCAAACAGTACTAAAGGTCCTTTACTAAAGGGACGGGCGTGGAGAGGAATAATGTTAGTGGAAGTTAGAACAAATATAACTTTTACGAATATCGGATCTCCTCAATATTCAAGCTGATCCACATATCTTAAAATTACAATGTACTTCTTTAGTATATTTATTAAAAATTATAGAAAATAACGACATAACCTTCTAAATATTAAAAGCGGTAGTAAACGTTAGCGTACAAAAGAATTAAAAAAACATTCATAAACATAAGATTACTTATCGGTACAAGGTTTTTTTTAATAAAGTTCTTCATCGTGGACAAAATAAAGGTAACAAAATAAAGGTATGCCCGAATTTTCTTCAACCGGGAGTTATTTGTTTTTTCAAACCCGCTACTTCAAGTATATCAAAACGTTTAATAAGTTCATAGTCACTAGGTTCTTTAATATTTTTTCTCTTGCACGGTTAACTTTTGCTATGACTTTATTATATTGCAAAAATGAAAAACAAGCACTGTTACATTTTTGCGAGTGCCCGGTTTACCTTAATTTTTCACAGAAAATTTTCTCCGTAGGGAAAATACCGTACAGCACTTTTTACAACGATAACAAAAAAAATATACACAACCACAAAAAACAAAGCAAATTTACGCCAGATGTCTGTCAACGTTGCCAACGTTTAGCCCAATTTAATGTTCTCCTTATATTGCCTATTATTCAACTTATCCTTATTTTTACAACTCAAAGAGGGGGACACCCCCTACAGTCTACATCTACACTGTATTTTATATATGAAAATATATGAAAGAAAGATATAGACAGTTTTCTTCATTCTTTTGAAATAAGAATATGACACTCGTATACCTTAAAATTATGATTTGAATAAAAACATTAAATAATATTGAACGGTTTTAAAGTATATATTTAGAGTATACACTCTGTACAGTGATATAGTGGAGCCACTCTGTTTAATACTTAATGTTATTTTATATGATATTGTTAGCTAATATGTTTTATAAATGAAGGACTTATTGCAATAACATATGTCACAAATCCATAATTTTGAATTTTATTATACTTTGCAGTTTAAAAAAATGTGTAAATCTAAATATTAATAAATATTAAATTTGAGTACGTTTTAGAGGTAGTTTAGTTTAACTGGCTAAGTATTTATCTAACAAATTTGTTGGATAAAAGGCAAGAAAAACACTAGGTACTAGTTAATAAAACTGATTTCTGATTGAATGGATTATCATGTTATTACAATAAGCCCTACAAATTTATTTTGGTTACTCGACTCGTGTTTTGGCGTCGACACTGTGACAATGTAGAGAAAGATAGCTAGATTTGATATAGATAGATTTTACGATTTCTTTTGAAGAATATGAGAATCGTATACTCCTAAATTATGATTTGAATTAAAAATAAATAATCTACGGTTTTAGAATATATGATATGGCAACTTAGTATCGAAGATAATACAATTATGTATGTCAATATTATAAATACACTGCACTGAGACTGTAA